CATATGAATTCACATGTAATACACTTGTGATTTACATGTGTATCACATATAATTCACATGTAAATCACATGTAATTCACATGTAATTCACATATGAATTCACATGTAATACACTTGTGATTTACATACACCGATGATAAATAAATATATGATTTTAATAGGTGATGCTGATGAAGAATCTACTGAATTTAACATAAACAATGACGATATACATGTTGAAGATGCATTTTTCAAAGATATTATTGAAGAGGATGAGCAAATTTCTTCGACATCTGATTGTAACTAAAATATTAGTTTGATTTTAAATGACATGTTTTCCTATATATGATTTGATTTAATATTATTTAATTTGCAGCAAAACATTTTGAATCAGAAGATGAAGATGAATTAAGCTGCATAGAAGTAAAATCTCCTTGTAGCACAAAAACAATTGAGTGGATCCCAAGAGTTGATGAATCATTCCTGCCAAAGAAAGATATGGTGTTTGAAACATTAGATCATGGAATTCAGTTTTACCAAATATATGCAAAGAAAGCAGGATTTGATTGCAGACTTGCATCAAGTAAAACTATTAATGGTATTTTACAATACAAGTATATTATATGTAGTAGGATTGGTGAACCAGATAAAAAAAATGCTGACACCATTTGAATGGAGTAGAAGGCAGAAAAAAAAAGAAAACATCCAAGCCAAATGATGTCTTGCAAAGCAAAGATATGTTTCAAATTTATAAAAAATACTGATCGGTTTTTCATTAATACATTTGTTGAAAAACACAACCATGAGCTCTACACAAACAGTACAGTGCACATGTCAAAGTCGAAAAGAAAGTTGGATCATTATGACAAGACAATTATAACTCAGTTAAGCACATCAAATATAGGAGCAAGCAAAGCACATAGCATGGTTACTGGTTTAAAGGGTGGTTACAGTAAACAAGGAGCAAAGAAAATCGACTACAAAAAATTTTCAAGAGACTTAAACTGCTATATAGGAGATAGTGATGCAAATATGTTGATAAATCTTTTAACACAACGACGTAAAAATGTGCCTTCTTTCACTTTTTATTACTTGTTGGAGGATGATGAGCTAAGGGCACTGTTTTGGGCAGATGCAATAGCAAAAAGAAACTACAAAGAATTCTCTGATGTGGTATCATTCGATGCTACATACAAAACAAATAAGTAAGTAATACTTAATTTCTTTAATATTTATATATTAAAATATTTCCATTTAGTATTTATGTTAAATATTTTAATGATTTTCAGATATAATATGATCTTTGTTCCATTTACTGCAATTGATAACCACAAAAGATGTGTCACAATTGGTGCTAGTTTGCTAGCTAAAGAAACAACAAAATTCTATACATGGCTTCTCAAATGCTTTCTTAATTGCTTTGGTACACAACCTAATGTTGTGGTCACTGATCAAGATTCAGCTATGGCTAAAGTTGTAGAAACCATTTTAATGAATCAACTCATCGTCTTTGCATGTGGCACATTGGAAAGAAATTAACAGATAAGATGAAATTGTATTATAATGTTTAAATAAGTTTTCATTTATAATTTGACTTATAATTTGATTAAAAACTTTTTTAATGTCCCATTTATTCATTCACAGATGAAAGCATTGAACTTTTGGGATCTGTTTATATAACTGTATACAAAGCTGTATACGGACATTCATACATGCCTGTATTTTTTTTTCAAAAAAAAAATTAAAATAAAGCATCCAATGTATTATGACCAATGATTCACTACATACTTGATATATGACCAATTATTCATTTGATTTTTACATATGATTCATATGTGATTCACTTGTAATTTGCATGTGAATTACATATGATTCATATGTGAATAACATGTGATTTACATGGGATTCATATACGATTCAGTTGTTATTTACATGTGAATCACTACATACTTGATAAATATATTAAGGAAGAAAATCAAGTTGTATAAAGGGGACAAAAATATGAAAATAAAACATACTTTATAGCCAACTCTGTATTGTCACCAAAAGTGTAGTTGATCACCTGTGTTATTATAATACTAAAACAACATTCAAATGTGAACATTAAATATCATGTTTTCAATTTATTTATTAAATACTTTTTCTTTTGTAGGTTTCTGCAAAAATAATAAATGAGACTAACTTTAGAAAAAGAATGCAAGGTCTAATTTGGAATTCTTGTATTGATCCGAATATATTTGAAGAAAAGTGGAAGTATCTAATAAAAGATATAAACTAGAAGATAACAAATGGCTGAAAGAGATGTATAATATTCGAACAAGTTGGATTCCGGCTTATTTTAGAGACACTGCACTGTCAGGTCTGATGAGGACAACATCAAGATCAGAGAGTATAAATGGCTTCTTCAAAAGATTTATGTCAAAAGATTCAAATCTAATTATGTTCATGTGCAAATTTGAATCTGCAATGGATGAGCAAAGAAATCTTTAATCAAATGACTTTAATTCCAAAAATAAAAACCCACCAATTCAAACAAATCTTCAATTTGAAGTACAAGCATCAAAGTTCTACACACATAATATATTCAAATTATTTCAAAAAGAAATAGAAGATTCTGTCTGGACATGCTCAGCCACACCATATGAGAGAGTTCAAGATCACAACACATACTTTATTATTGAGCAAATAATGGATGAAGATATACAAAACAGAAGTGTGTTCTTCAACAAAAATTCATATATTTTCAAAAGTCACAACATAAAGCAATTTCAATACCAGGTATATGTATGTTATTAAATAACTTTATTTATGAATGAAATTCATATGTGAATTACATGTTATTTAATCTGATATACAATTTATTCATTTGTGAATCACATATAAATCGCATGTAAATCACATGTGAATTACATGTTATTTAGATGTGAATCACATGTGATTCATATGTGAATTATATGTGAATTACATATGAATCACATGTATTTCATATGAATTATATGTGATTCACATGTGAATCACATGTAAATCATATGTAAATCATATGTAAAACAGATTAAATAATATGTGAATTACATGTTATGTAATCTGATATACAATTTATTCATTTGTGAATCACATGTAAATCATATGTGAATCACATGTAAATTATATGTGAATCACATGTAAATCATATGTGAATTAGATATGCTTTACATGTGAATCACATGTAAATAATAGGTGAATTACCTGTGATTAAAATCTGAATTTAATTTGATGAACAATTAATTCAGTTGTTACTAAAATGAAAATTTTTCTTTGATTAAGTTATGAAATATTATAAATTTAAATGAAAAACAATATAATTAACATGTGTCTTGTATAAATATTTTCCAGGTTAAGGTATTTCCAAATGAAGAAACATATAAATGTTCTTGCCTGGTATTCGAACAATATGGAATTTTGTGCAGGCATATACTATGTGTTATGAAATCAAATTTTGTAAAAAATATACCATAAAAGTATATGTTGAGAAGATGGCAGAAAAGTATAATAAGACTTAACGAATTGATAAAAAGTCATGGTATTGCTGACAATATTAGTGGATGTGAAAGAATGATACAAAATGCATATTCTATAGTCACAGAATGTATCAATATTATTGGACATGATGCTGAAGCAATGACTCAATTTCTTCAATGGCAAAAAGAAATTCTAACCAAAGTTGAATCAAATCCACCAAAGAAAGATAATCGTACCAAAAATCAAAAGTTGGATTCAATGATTGGAGTATCAAAGCCAGATGTACCTACAATAAAGAATCCAAAAGATATTACATACAAAGGATGGGCAACAGGAAAGAGAGTTAAGAGTCAGAGAGAAATAGCAATGGAAAATGCTGGGAAGAATTCAAGATTTTGTTCTTATTATGAAAAGAAAATCACTCCAAATGAAAAGCATGACATAAGAAATTGTCCAAAAAAAATTGAAGATGAATTAAGAAAGAAACAAGAAATAGAAAAAGAAACCATATGAGATACAGGTAATACTTTTTATTCTAGTTAATACTTTTTTTTAACATTTTAAGATATATTGATAACAATAATATTTTATTAATATATTTTATAATTTTACTTTTAGACTACATTCAATGCGCCAAATGGAAATTACCCAGTAGCTTTAGATATGAAATTGGATGGGAAAAGCTCAAATGTGGGTCAATGGAGGGGCAAACATGGAGACATTGGGCTTGAAATAATTACACTGGAATTTATAAAGAAAATAAATGCAATTGATATCGACTGAGTATATACATCTCAAAGGTAATATTAAATCACATATTTTATTCAGATGTGAATTATATATGAATTGGTTGTGGATACTATATAAATAACATGTGAGTATATATAAATTACATACAAAACACAAGCTAATTATATTTGATTTAAATCTGAATAACATATGATTCTCATACTAATCACATCTGAATCACATGTGCTAACCATATCTGAATCACATGTGATTCTTATCTGATTACATCTGAATAACATATGATTCTCATGTTAATCACATCTGAATCACATGTGATTCTTATCTGAATTATACACTGAATAAGATGTGAATTAATAAATAATATGAAATGAATTAATAAATAATATTTTGAATCAAATATGTCATTCATATGTGATTCAAAAGTAACACATGAATGATGTCTAATTGACATTAGCATTTACATTCACATATGAATAAAATATGTGATTAATAAAATATCTCATTCATACAAAGTTCTATTTCAAAATACAACATTTTTGAAGATCATAATTTCACTACATTTTTACCTTGTTCAACAATACAAATAATTTAGAAATGCATACTCATTTTTTCCTTGTGTCAACATTAGATGCTTATTAAAAAAAAATTCATTCTTCTTTATCAACATTATTTCCTTCCACACCTGAATATAATTAAAAATTTTTATTAATAATTTGTAATAATCAAACATATGTTAGTCATAAATATGTAATATAACTTACACCCTTTTAAATATTATCGTTTTTTGACTTTCACATGGGCATTTTTGTCTTTCACAGGATCCTCTACTTTCTTATCATTTGTTTCCTGCATTTCAACATATTTTCCTCTTGCTGCAGTTTCTTTTTCACAATGAGGGAAATTTTTGTCTTTTATGTACTTCTTTAAAGAAGAAGATCTTTTGGCAACTTTGGCAACAGATTCAACATTTTGTGGAATTTCCTTCACCATATTACTGATTCTTGAAGACCTCCTCTTTTTGATCTCTTCTCCTATTCCAAAAGTGAACACAATTCTCATTATACAAATATATTTTAAAAAAACATATGTGATTTAGTAATTATTACATATGATTCATAAATTTAAATATTTTTTAATAAATAATATTTTGATTTCCTTACCTTCTCCTTGAATGCTTTTGCCTCCAATATACTTTTTTTGTACATCATTTATATCTCCACCTTGATTATTGTCACAGAATTCAACATCATCATCATTAACTTTCTGATTATTATGATCATCATTATCACCTTGATTTTTTTTATTATCATCACCTTTATCATCTTGATTATCTTCATCATCTCCAATCTCATCATTTAAAATTTCTACAAAACTACTTTCCAAATGATTTAATATCACATTTTCTGAGAAAGTACTAATTCCATTCTTAATCAACAAATTTAACTTCCTACACTTCATCAGATCATTTCTTGATAATCCTAAACCAAAAATAATTTACAGTTTATATAAACATAAATAATAAAATATTACAACTATCAAACAATGAATGTTTTATTATTATTATTATTATTATTAAATTTACTTCCTCATTCAATTCTTCTTGTATGAATTCTTCATTCAATTCCCCTGTTCCAAATTCACCAATTTCTTCTTTCTCATAATCTTCTCTCATCTTAACCTTCTCTGTAGTCCAGTGGCATATGACTAGACGTGTTCTCTTAACTTTTAAAACTTCAGAACTCACTCTATCTACATAAAGTAACTACAAAATAAAAAATAAATTTTCAATTTGAACATCTGTTATAAAATATGAAAATTATATTTGACCAAATAAAATTCCTTTTATAATCATATATGATTATAACTATAAATATTGAGATTAAAATTTGATTATAAAATATTAAAATAAAATTTAAGTTATTATACATACCACTAAATAAGCAGATGGTCCATTAAAAAAGGCTGTCGAAGAGGACTGATCAAAAGATTCTTTGATTTTAACCAAACTGTCTATCAAATATGAGCACCAGTCAATGTTTTTGATTTCTGTCTTTTTCGTTATGTATTGAATTGGGTAGATGTTTGCTTTTCCAGATGAACTTGTTTCAATCAAAGAGTTAATCAACAATGCTAAAAAATTCAGCTTAAAGTTCATATCTGATTTGTTTCTCGAAACAATTTTCATCTTTATCCACTTTAGTCGAATAATGTTGTTGTTATCAAAATGTTCTGTCCATTTCTCATAACTGTTATCATCTGCAGTTCTAAATGGAAGACTTGAAAATTTTGTCTTTCCTAATGGAAATCCAAGTATTTGATTGACTGACTCTCTAGTAACATCAATCACACCTCCTTCCATAACAATTGTCTTTGTTTTTGAATTAAACTTCTGAAGAACAAAACAACTTAATGCCCCCGGCATCTATCATTTTCATCTTTAGAATATTTCCAAAACCCATCTTTCTAACACAATCCTTTTGAACATCACTGAATCCTTGTATAACAGATAACAAAGATCCAGGTGAGCATCTATTTATAAATACAACAATTAATTAATTAGTTTAATTTATATTTCATTAAACAAAATTAGTTACTTTTTAACTAAAACTTTAAAGTACATTATAAGGTATTGTCCTTTTCAAACTAATATGTTATTAATTATAAATTTTCATTTGAATATTATGTAAATTATAATTTGATTCATGTGTAATGTAAATAAAATGTATTTCTTACATATATTTGATATATAATTCATTTAATAAAAATATAACAAACTATAAAACACATTGTTATTCATATAATTCATTTAAAATTATATATATTAAAAATATAACAAACTATCAATGCTTCCTCTAATTGCAAAAATATAATACTATAAAACACATTCTTATTCATATGTGATTCATATCTGATTATTACATTCTTGTTTTTTTTTCATTTTACCCTAAACACAAAAGACAAAACAATGGGTATTTCGTTATATGTTTCTTAATAACATTTGAAACACATGAAAACCACCGGTCTAATCATATCTGATTGATTTCAGAAAGTTGTCTTTTATAATATATGATCACTCAATTTCAATTTCAAATTTCATTTTTTAGTAAAACATTTTTTATCATAATAAATGTTAAATCACATTTGGTTTAAAACATAATTTATAGTTTAATCATAAAGGTATACCTGTTTCGGATTGTATCAAATTCTTTATTTATTTTCTTCTTTTTACTTCTCTTTATCTGATTTTTTTGAGACTCGGAATCTTGATTTTCATCAAGTTTTTTCTTTCTTGTTAAAGAAACAACTTTTCTCTTTCTTCTCCTCTGAGAACTTTTTTGTTCTGGTACATTCTTTGATGATTCTTTTTCTTCAGTAACTCCTTTTTCGTTTGGTTTAGGGCTCTCTGGTATGAATAAGCATATATATAATCACAAAATTCCATATAAAAACAAATCAATTTATTATACATCAAAAAATACCTTTTTGAAATATCCTTCTCGCTGTTGATTTTGTGAATCGTTTCAAAGTACTCTCCTTTTCAACATTTTCTTCTTTATTTTTGTCTGTTATGTATAAAAAAATCATATATCGTTAAAAAACATAAAAATATAATATTTCCTATTTTTGGTTCATATGCATGTATAAATCGAGATTACTAAAGTCATTTTCAACGGTCAAAATATAATAATAAACGATCTTTAAAATATAATGAAAAATTTTTTAAAAAAAAGTCAATAAAAACACTATATCACATTTAAAACTAAATTTTATTAACTTAAATCGTTCAATAACAGTTTGGATTCCGAAATCTGGTAAGTCAAACTCATTATGGATCTAAAGTTGATTTACGATTGAAAAAAATTATATAATATATAGTTTTTTACCTTGATAAGAAGCATCTTTTCTGGTTGACGACATTTTTGATTCTATTAAAGCCTTTTCCTTTCGATTCAGCAATTATCGAAGAAGATTTATGGATTTTTTTGAGGAATTGGGGTTTCTACTTCAGAAAGTATGGAGTAAGAGACAGAGATACAGAGAGAGAAAGATAGATAGAAAAAGTTTTATAGGGAACATAAAGTATTTATGTTCGAAAATGAACCAGTTTCTTTCCATTTTCATTATTGCCCCCGTGTTTTTTAAATATTTTAACTTTACATCCAGTTTTTTATTTAATTAAAAATTTTGACCATAAATTTTGACAACATGTAAATAAAAAATATTTAATCCTATATCTTGTTTTATAGTTTTACTTTCTTATTTATTATTTATTTTACATTTTTTCATTTTATATTAAAAATTTTCAATTGTATATGTTAATTTAAAAATAATAAAATTTATAAGTAACATTTTTTAAAATTATTAGGCTTTAATTTATAATATGTTGGTATTGAATTTCAGTTTCTTTGTGTAAAATAAACATTTAGAAATAGTTTTTTCTTCTGATATTTAACTTAAGTGCTGTATATGAGATTTTGTTGTGAATCTTGATTTTTGTAGGGGTTATTGGTGTTGAAATAATTATTTAATTACTTGTGTTTTTTTTAACAAACATTATATACTCTAATAAATAAGTTTTTGTGTGAATCGATATGAAATATCCATATATTGGTGGTTGTTTATCTGTATTAAGTTGCTAAATTTATGATTTTGACATATGTAAATTGCATGTGATTTAAATGTTAAACACATATGTGATTTGCAAGTGAATCATATGTAATTCATATGTGATTTACATATGAATCACATAATGATAACAATAATAGGCATATTGGCGTATAACATAATATATCCTTAAAATAATATATCCTTAAAATAATACGCTCTACTTGTAATTAAACTTTAAATTCTCTTCATTTTCAAGTTTTGATTTTTAATAAATGTAATTTATATGTGATTCATTTGTAATTTACATTTCAATAATATACGCATTTTAGGACCAAAATCAATAATTTTTATTATTAAGCTGAATTTTCTATTAATGCCTTAATAACTAAAATATTATTAAAAAGGTAACTAATATGTTTTTAACATATGAATCAATGGTTCCTAACACATAACCATATTGTTTTTGTTATATTAATATTATTAGAATGAAATGAAAATTTTAACCCTTTTCCCACTCATCAAGTTTACATGGATAAATGACTACTGTTGCATCAACAAAAAAAGAGTGCTTCCTGTTATGGACTAATAAATATAATTCATTCTGATTTCTATATCAACTGTTTTATACAAATAGCAATGTACTTTTATCTAAAAAAGAAATGTATTTCCTATCTAATATAAAATTTTTGAGCTTCCTATATACTCTCTAATCTTTGTTTAATCATTGTCTTAGCCATATCTCTTTCCCTTTTCCTTACACTTTCTTCAACCTTGTTGTATTCTTTTGCAAGCTCAAGAATCTTGGAAGCAATTTCATTAGTTTCAGATAATATCAACTTTGCAGCATATTTACATCTAAGAAAATTTAGAGTTTCTTTTTTAGCAGGGTTTTCTTTTCCAAATCCAGAATTCCATTTCCCATCTTTTTCTCCCATATAGGTCTCCATATGCCGCATCGTGAACACTCCACAATCTACTTTATTTTTTTTGGTTCGCCAAATCATTCTAATTCTTTTAGCCTTAAGGTTTTCATCACTCATTTCTTCTGCTTTTGAATGGTTAATATCATTAAGATATAAACCAAATTTTTTTTTCTGTTAATTAAAAAAAATATAAAAAATTTAGATATATAAATATAAAAAAATATAATTAAAAAAAATTAGAAAAAATATGAAGTATACTTACAAGATTATTAACCATATTACCATATCTTGCTTCAAAATCATTTTCACCAGCTGTACTGTTATCAAGTACATCTATACTTGTTTTAGATAAATTGAACACAATAACATATATATGAAAACCTTGAACAATAGGAAAGAACACCTGCATTTTATTTTTAATATTATAATTAAATAAAATATAATTCAAAATAAAATTATCAATAACAAATAGTTTTATAACATACCAAATCAATTCCTTGCAGATTTCTTCTATTCTTGTCTTCACCAATATCACATTCAAAATTACTTTTAAAAATTTGATATTTTTTATTATCATCCATTGTTGTTGAAGTGATATAGAAATTCTGAAACAGAAACAGTATATAAATTTAAACATTAGTTGTTTTAAAGCAAAAAAAAGTTAAACACATGTAATTTGTATGTAAATTCGTATGTAAATTTCATGTGATTTAAATGTTAAACACATGTAATTTGTATGTAAATCACATATGTGATTTAAATGTGAATCACATTCACATGTAATTTGTATGTAAATTGCATGTGATTTAAATGTTAAACACATGTAATTTGTATGTAAATGACATATATGATTTACATGTGATTCACATATGTGATTTACATGTAAATCACATATGTGATTTGCAAGTGAATCACATCTAATTTGTATGTAAATTACATGTGAAACACATGTAATTCATATGTCATTTATCACATGTAAATCACATATGTCATTCACATGTAAATCACATATGAATTACATGTGATTCACATGTAAATCACATATGAATTACATGTTATTCACATGTAATTTACATATAAATTAGATGTGATTCACTTGCAAATCACATATGTGATTTACATGTAAATCACATATGAATTATATGTGAAACACATGTAAATCACATATGTGATTTACATATAACATGTCACACCCCGACCAACGGCGGAAACACCGGGGTTGCGACTTAAACATTTGGATCATAGTCAACAACATATAAGGAAATAATAACAGAATTTATTCGACATTACATTCATCCGAAGTATGAATATGACAAAACACACTGTTTAATAGTCCAAAAGCGTTATACGCGGATTTCAATTTCTTACAACATAAAAGAGACAAAAGGCTACTATAGAGCCAACAATTTATTTTCAACGTCAAACCCATCATCCTCACACATGGTGAGAGTTCTTCTGGCCAACTTGAACACCTAGAGACACATACATTTTGAAAATACGTCAACAATAATGTTGGTGAGCTTTATAGGTTTTCTTTTGACTCCGAAGATTTTTATAATTCAAAATAATATTTCCAAAGACCGGTAAATTATAAAGCATATTTTTCTCTTCAACCACTTTTTAAATGATAAATATTAGTCATTTTCATGATGATTTTTATTCTCTGGATCTTGTCCGTTACGAGAAGTTATGTCGTAAGGAGAAGTATATAATGTCCTAACACTCGACACTCTCGGTCCCAAATTGGGAGAATTGACTCAATCTAGATCTATACATCTTCGAATAAAAATCTTCAATATATTAATTTGCCCATAACCGACACTATTCGTCGCTCCTCCACAAGCCGCATAGGCACAATAAACAAGCCACACAGGCACAATACAAATAAACATGGAGGAATCGAGATCATTACTAACGTTTAAAAGCAGTCGTATAGTAACGAAGAAAGAAACACTTGACGCCTGTTGCCTCGTCAGACGGAGTTGTAGCTAGCAACCACAGACGAAAAATAACCATTCGTATAAATCTTTCCATAAGAATTAGATCTACACCAAAGTTCTTTATTATAAATCTATGCCGTGTACATAGACCTACAATATATGATTCCTCCTGGATTAACGGTTATAGAGCTAGGTGTCGATTCCAGGATATGATCCTTACAAGGGAAAAACACACCATCAACAAACTCTCTCCTTCACCCCTTTCGATACATTCCTCCCACAAGCACACACGGGATACACAATCCACAAATACATGGCAATAAAAATCCGTCACTTCCAATGATCACCAACGCGAGTCTTAATTTATTTATGATTTTATTTTTAGCTAGTGCATTTAGTTAAATATTAAATTTAACCTAGCCTTCGAATAAAGAGACGGTAGTGACTCAAGTAATTTCAATCTACCAACCGATAGGAAAGACGTTCCGTTAGCGTAGTTGAGTACTTCATACATGTCGGTGTTACGTCGGTTGACCGGTTGTCACATAAATCGAATATTTTTGTATTTTTAATATTTACTTAATGTTGAAAACGTCTTATTTTCGTTTGTAAGTAAACTTTAGTCTTAAAAATACATACACATTATTTTTCGATAAGATTTCGTATCATACCATAGTAAATAACTACTTGTGCTTTATTCTCATACTCTTGTTATTATTATTTTATCATCTCGTTTAGTTCTTTACTATTAATACTTGATGAATAATAAGCTTAATACCCTAGTATACACAAGTCATAGAGATATGCCTATTATGACAAGTTAAAAGTGTTCATCTATCAAGATTTCGACACAAGTTCTCAACGATGCCTTTAATTTATTCTGACGATTAATATAACACTAGATTACTCTTATCTAACATTTTTGTTTACACAAGTGCTTGTAAATAAGTCTAACATTTTATAAAATTCTTGTGTATAACCATTACTAATCACCATCTTTTTAACAAACTTTATTTGTAAAAAAAAATTTAGTGTTTATAATAAACATTGTCTAACAGTTTTGTATCTATCACTACTGTGCATGCATGTAACACATAAATTTTAGCCATATTAATATATCAAAATACTCAGGTATGTGTCTCCCCCCAAATAAGTGTAAATGTAAAAACGGGGCCATAAAGACTCACATTTGGAGCGTGATTTTCGGTTCGGTTTCGATTGACTTCCCGGAAATTTCTTGTCGTAACTCTTCACCAACTCTTGGAAGAAGACCCGGAACTACTCCATCCCGCTGAAATGATGATTATGGGACTGTTTTAGGGTCGAAAAGGTAAGAAAACACAAAGTGTTTCCACCGTTATAGTGGTTCTCGACAGCAAAAAGGTGGCAGGGGCTGTTTCGGCAGCCTCTTTGCCTCCTTAATTTTCTATTTTTTGAAGCTGTTTCGCACAAGGGAGAGAGCAACATGTAGGGGCGAAAACAGTGGGTGTTTGGAGCTTATTTTGACAGCAAAGACATGGAAAAATTAACAGCTCTGTTGCCCTCTTTTCTTGCTGGAAAAACAGGTCCACAACACCTCCAAATAGAGGTGTTCTTGGGGATCACGATGCAGAAAAGAAAGAACAGGTAGGCTAAGGTGTTTTGATGAGTTTGGGGCTGAAATATGTAAAGGAAAAGAATTATAACATAGCTGGGTATTTATGCTTCAAGATGGATTTGACTCATGGAGGAAAGTTAGAAGTTTTGTCATACATTCATCATGCATGTGTACTAGTAACTTACATGAGTGGAGAAATATGTGAGGGAGAAGAGAAGGAAGAAAGAAAAACGTGAGGTGAATGTGTTTGTGTGTTAAAGTCTCTCATCTACATTGTACTTCAAAGTGAAGCTTTAAAGCAACCTCCTTTAATGAGTGGTACTTGCTTCATAATGAGAATTTGAGGCATTTGTGGTTGGAAGGCCTTAATTACGTGAATAGGAAGAGGTAGACTCTTAGGAGTTGACTTGGCCCTCAATGCTAGTTCTAGATATATTTAGAGTTGATTGTATGTACTAGTTCTTAAATGGGTGTAGTGTCAAAAATGGACTTTTGGGTTTTTATGGATAACTTTCGAGATATCTAACCATATACACACATACATACATCTCATACTTATTTATTTTGTTATATTTTTGTCATATAATAATCAAGTCCCTTATTATTACATATAACATTTGTAAGGACTTAGATATTTTTATAAATATAACTCTTTCACTACATAAACATAATTGTATGTATCTTATTGGTTTTATTAGCATATAACTAGTCGTATACGAATAATAATCTATATTAAACGATTCTTATTGCTAAAATATATATTTATATTTTTAAGAACATTGTACATTAAGTCCCCCATCAAAATTAGTTACGGTCGTCATTCGGCGGACATCGACCTAATTTTTACGATTGTTACATTCTCCCCCCGTTAAAAGAATTTCGTCCCTTGATAGGTGTATCGTTGTCGAACAATTGGGGGAATTTCTTCTTCATCTGATCCTCTCGTTCCCACGTGAACTCTGGTCCCCTTTTTGAATTCCAACGCACTTTCACAATAGGAGTGCGACTTTGTCTCAATTTCTTGATTTCACGGTCCATAATCTCAACTGGTTCTTCAATATAGTGCAGATAAGTGTTTAACTCGATTTCGTCGAGAGGGATGACAAGAGTGTCATCGGCCAGACACTTTTTCAAATTTGAGACATGGAAAACATTGTGTACTTTTTCCAATGCTTGAGGTAATTGGAGGCGATAAGCAACAGGCCCAATTCTTTCAAGAATTTCGAAGGGTCCAGTGTACCGTGGGTTTAGTTTTCCCCTCTTTCCGAATCTAATCATCCCTTTCGAAGGTGATACTTTTATCATAACTCTATCGCCCACCTGGAATTCCAAGGGTTTACGTCTTACGTCCGCATAATTTTTCTGACGACTACGTGCACCTTTCAATCGCTCTTTGATTTGCACGATTTTCTCGGTCGTCTCGTGGATTATTTCGGGTCCGGTACGTAGAGTATCTCCAAAATGCCTCCTGGCTAGTTGTGTATCTCCAACTTCTGCCCAACATAGCGGTGAACGACATTTTCTTCCGTATAGTGCCTCAAATGGTGCTGCTTTTATGCTGGAGTGGTAGCTGTTGTTATACGAAAACTCAATTAAGGGTAAATGAATATCCCACGAGTTTCCGAAATCTAATATGCAAGATCGAAGCATATCCTCTAAGGTTTGGATGGTTCGTTCACTCTGACCATCTGTTTGTGGGTGATAAGTCGTGCTCATGTCCAAACGTGTTCCTAAGGACTTTTGGAGGGACTGCCAAAATCGTGAGGTAAATCTATTGTCTCTGTCAGAAATGATAGAGATTGGCACCCATGAAGTTTGACGATTTCCTTAAGGTAGGTTCGGGTCAGTTTTTCCATCTTGTCTGTCTCTTTGATTGGTAGGAAGTGAGCGGACTTGGTCAACCTATCCACTACCACCCAGATGGTGTCATAACCACTCGGCGTTCGGGGTAGCTTAGTGATAAAGTCCATAGTGATCATTTCCCATTTCCATTCCAGAATCTCCGGTTGTTGAAGTAACCCTGATGGCTTTTGATGCTCGACTTTAACTTTTGAGCAGGTCAAGCACTTGCTTACATACGTAGCAATTTCTGCTTTCATGTTCGGCCACCAGTACAACCTCTTTAGGTCTTGGTACATCTTGTCGGAGCCGGGATGGACATAATATCTCGTTTTCTGAGCTTCATCCATGACTAGACTCCTAATTTCTCCGAATTTGGGCGTCCAGATTTGGTTCATGAAATATCTTGTCCCATCATCCCTAAGCTCGAATTGCTTTTCCATTCCTCGCAGGGCTTCTTCCACAATATTTTCTTCTTTTACAGCTTCGAGTTGGGCTTCCCGTATCTGTGTACTTAGATTGGAATGAATGGTCATGGTCATGGTCAGTGCACGCGCACGTCTAAGTTTCTCATGCTCTTTCCGACTCAGAGCGTCTGCTACTACATTAGCCTTGCCCGGGTGATAACGAATCTCAGAGTCGTAATCATTTAACAGTTCGACCCACCTGCGTTGCCTCATGTTGAGTTCTTTTTGGTCGAAGATATGCTGGAGACTCTTGTGATCTGTAAAGATTGTACATTTAGTACCATACAAGTAGTGCCTCCAAATCTTTAGGGCGAAAATCACTGCTCCTAGTTCAAGATCATGAGTAGTGTAGTTGAATTCGTGCACTTTTAGTTGTCGCGACGCGTAAGCAATCACCTTGCTTCTCTGCATTAATACACAACCTAGTCCTTGCCGAGACGCCTCACAGTAGACGACAAAGTCTTCTGTTCCATCAGGGAGTGATAGGATTGGTGCACTGCACAACATGTGTTTTAATTTCTGGAACGCAGCTTCCTGCTTATCTTCCCAGTTGAATTTCACATCTTTCTGTGTTAGTGCAGTGAGAGGCTTGGCCGTTTTGGAGAAATTTTCGATAAACCTTCGATAGTAACCAGCGAGTCCTAAAAATTGGCGCACTTCTGTCGGCGTTCTCGGTGCCTCCCAATCTTGATTGCTTCAATTTTTGCGGGATCCACGTGTATCCCTCTATTGCTAACAACATGCCCTAGGAAATGCACTTCTCTTATCCAAAATTCACATTTGGAAAATTTTGCATATAATTTTTCCTTTCTCAACAGTTCCAATATCAATCGTAGATGTTGGCCGTGTTCCTCCTTTGTTTGTGAGTATATCAAGATGTCGTCAATGAATACAATCACAAACTTATCCAGGTAAGGTTTACAAACACGGTTCATTAGATCCATGAATACTGCTGGGGCATTCGTTAGGCCGAAAGGCATGACAAGAAACTCGTAATGAACATACCGAGTTCTGAATGCGGTCTTTGGTATGTCGGTTTCCAATACCTTGAGTTGGTGGTATCCGGACCTTAGGTCAATCTTGGAGTAGTAGCTAGACCCTTGCAGTTGATCGAACAAATCATCGATTCTAGGGAGTGGGTATCGATTCTTTATCGTTAACTTATTTAGTTCTCTGTAATCGACACACATCCGAAATGATCCGTCCTTCTTCTTGACAAACAGGAACGGGGCTCCCCAAGGAGAGAAACTTGGTCTTATGAAACCCTTGTCCAGAAGTTCTTGTAATTGGCTTGCAAGCTCTTGCATCTCAGAAGGAGCCAATCTATAGGGTGACTTAGCTACTGGTGCGGCGCCTGGGGTTAGGTCGATTCTAAACTCAACTTGTCGGTTCGGGGGTAATCTAGGTAGATCCTCGGGAAAGACGTCGGGAAAATCACATACCTGAGGTATGTCTTTCAATTCCTTTGTTCCACTCTTCTTATCGACTATGTGAGCCAGAAAGGCATAACATTTCTTATGTAGATATTTCTGCGCCTTCGTGCAAGAAATGAGCTTAAGGTTTTTCCCTGACTTATCCCCATAAATGGTTAGGATCTCTCCGCTTGGTAGGGTTAATCGTACGGCCTTCTCATAACACAAAATCTCGGCGTGGTGAGGAGCAAGCCAATCCATTCCTATAATAATGTCAAAACTACCTATGGGAATAGTCAAGAGATTTATGTGGAAAGTGTGGTTGTTTAGAGTTAACAAGCAATCTCTTAGGATTTCGGTTGTGCTTTCTATCTGACCATTCGCTACTTCTACTTCATATGTTGTTTCTAATTTGTTAGACTCGTGATTTAAAAGTTGTTGAAAAGACGGAGTTATAAAACTTTTATCGGCACCGGAGTCAAAAAGTATTGTAGCATACAAGTTATTAACAAGGAACGTACCAGTGACCACTGACGGATCCTGAATGGCGTCCCCGTTTCCTATCACAAAAGCTCTCCCTCGGGCGTTCCCACCTTTATTCTTCCCTTTTGGGCAGTTTCGTGAGATATGGCCTTTCTCCCTACAGTCGTAACATGTCCTTTCTTCCCCGTTGCCGGCCCTGGTATCGAAATTTCGATTTCCTCCTGTGCTCGTAACTTCCTTACAGTAATTTTCAGTATGTCCCTTCTTGTTGCACTGGGTGCAATGGTAACAATCTCCAGGTGGTTTCTATGGCAAACGTTACACTTTGGGTAATTGTTTGTGTAGTTCTTTTGTGGTGCAGGTGTTGTTGTTACGGCTGGAGTTGCCGCATAGACCTTCTTAGTTTCTTGCTTCTTAGGTGGGTTTGATTTTCTTTCAGGAAATTTCCTTTTCTTGTTTGATTCAGACTTAGGGGTTTCAACTCTAGCCTCCATGTTTCCCTGACTAACCTCATTGTTGGTCAGTCGTTTAGCCATATTCTTGGCGCTTTCAAAGGTTGTAGATCTCGAAGACATGACCATACCCTTGATCTTAGGAGACAGACCCCAAATATAACGTTCCACCTTCACATGCTCAGGGGTTACTAGAGTTGGACACAGCAAGGAGAGGTCGTTAAATATGGTTGTGTAGGCTTTAATGTCTGAACCTTTCATCTTAAGGTTCCACAGCTCGTTTTCCAGATTCTGAACTTCATCTCTGGGACAATACTCTTCTATCAGCATGGTTTTCAGTTCACTCCAGGTCAAAGAGTTGGCAGGGATAATGCCTAGTGACTTAACTTGGTCGTTCCACCAAGTTAGTGCCGCATCCATGAAAGTATAGGCAGCAAAGCGCACCTTGCTATCTTCAGCACGGTAACTGATCTGAAATACCAACTCTATCCTTTCAAACCACCGGGTGAGACCGATCACACCTTCGTTTCCATAGAAGTACTTGGGTTTGCAGTTCATAAAGTCCTTATAGGTGCAAACCCTTCGATCCTCGAGTTCTTCAACTTCAACGATGGGGTTTCTTGCATTTGCGCTTCCCGTGTTTGTCATAGCGATCGCAAGATGGTCTGCAATTATTTGTTCCAGCTCTGCTGTTGTCTGTGGGAGTCCCGTCTCAGGGGGTGGTGCAACAACAGTCGGCGTATCCACAACCGAATTTATGTTGGCCGTGAGTTGGGTCGGCCCCTCCTGGGTCGAAATGTTGTGGGTGGAACTGTCGTTTCCAATCTTTCGGGTTGGGGTCGATTTCTGAGTCGTTCACTCCTCTTTCTTGGCGGCATGATTATGATCTATTTATTCATTTTAATTGTAAGTGTTTAGTCAACCATGTTTTTTTATAATTTATAATGTTTTGCAAGTATTTCCAAATGAATTTTAATCAACTAACACAACAATCATCCCGTAACAACACATAATAATAATAATAATAATATATGCTTCATATATTTCACATAGTCATTTCCAAGTTTTACATTCGCTTACATTACCATAAAACTACTACACAGTTTTAATTATTCATGAGTATGTTTTTTTTATACCCCCTTTTTTTTGCGTTTAATAGATTAACTAATTCACTTAGTTTCAATAGTGCGTAGAATCTTACCAAAATAAAACGTAGGCGCGCAACTAGGTTTAGTTGTGGTACGACCTATGTACTAGAGAACCTAATTGATTATTTGACGTTTAAACTCTTGTTTACTTAATTTCTTAAAATTTTAAATTTATTTATAATTTATGGATGTCGCTTGTCGGATTATTTCTCCTTAGGTTTTTGATATTTATTTTATAATGTGTAGTTTATAGGAACTATTCTTGGATCATAGGATCGTCGACCTAAGGGGGAAATCTACGCGTACTAATTATTAGACTTATAGGAATAAGTCTATTAGTGATATGATATAGGTTTTAGGAATACTTGAACCTATTAGAGTAAGCCCGTAGACTATAGTTGTTCTCTTGTAAGGAAAGTACTAATTCGCTATAGTCGTTAGCTCTGATACCAATCTGTCACACCCCGACCAACGGCGGAAACACCGGGGTTGCGACTTAAACATTTGGATCATAGTCAACAACATATAAGGAAATAATAACAGAATTTATTCGACATTACATTCATCCGAAGTATGAATATGACAAAACACACTGTTTAATAGTCCAAAAGCGTTATACGCGGATTTCAATTTCTTACAACATAAAAGAGACAAAAGGCTACTATAGAGCCAACAATTTATTTTCAACGTCAAACCCATCATCCTCACATATGGTGAGAGTTCTTCTGGCCAACTTGAACACCTAGAGACACATACATTTTGAAAATACGTCAACAATAATGTTGGTGAGCTTTATAGGTTTTCTTTTGACTCCGAAGATTTTTATAATTCAAAAGAATATTTCCAAAGACCGGTAAATTATAAAGCATATTTTTCTCTTCAACCACTTTTTAAATGATAAATATTAGTCATTTTCATGATGATTTTTATTCTCTGGATCTTGTCCGTTACGAGAAGTTATGTCGTAAGGAGAAGTATATAACGTCCTAACACTCGACACTCTCGGTCCCAAATTGGGAGAATTGACTCAATCTAGATCTATACATCTTCGAATAAAAATCTTCAATATATTAATTTGCCCATAACCGACACTATTCGTTGCTCCTCCACAAGCCGCATAGGCACAATAAACAAGCCACACAGGCACAATACAAATAAACATGGAGGAATCGAGATCATTACTAACGTTTAAAAGCAGTCGTATAGTAACGAAGAAAGAAACACTTGACGCCTGTTGCCTCGTCAGACGGAGTTGTAGCTAGCAACCACAGACGAAAAATAACCATTCGTATAAATCTTTCCACAAGAATTAGATCTACACCAAAGTTCTTCATTATAAATCTATGCCGTGTACATAGACCTACAGTATATGATTCCTCCTGGATTAACGGTTATAGAGCTAGGTGTCGATTCCAGGATATGATCCTTACAAGGGAAAAACACACCATCAACAAACTCTCTCCTTCACCCCTTTCGATACATTCCTCCCACAAGCACACACGGGATACACAATCCACAAAATACATGGCAATAAAAATCCGTCACTTCCAATGATCACCAACGCGAGTCTTAATTTATTTATGATTTTATTTTTAGCTAGTGCATTTAGTTAAATATTAAATATAACCTAGCCTTCGAATAAAGAGACGGTAGTGACTCAAGTAATTTCAATCTACCAACCGATAGGAAAGACGTTCCGTTAGCGTAGTTGAGTACTTCATACATGTCGGTGTTACGTCGGTTGACCGGTTGTCGCATAAATCGAATATTTTTGTATTTTTAATATTTACTTAATGTTGAAAACGTCTTATTTTCGTTTGTAAGTAAACTTTAGTCTTAAAAATACATACACATTATTTTTCGATAAGATTTCGTATCATACCATAGTAAATAACTACTTGTGCTTTATTCTCATACTCTTGTTATTATTATTTTATCATCTCGTTTAGTTCTTTACTATTAATACTTGATGAATAATAAGCTTAATACCCTAGTATACACAAGTCATAGAGATATGCCTATTATGACAAGTTAAAAGTGTTCATCTATCAAGATTTCGACACAAGTTCTCAACGATGCCTTTAATTTATTCCGACGATTAATATAACACTAGATTACTCTTATCTAACATTTTTGTTTACACAAGTGCTTGTAAATAAGTCTAACATTTTATAAAATTCTTGTGTATAACCATTACTAATCACCATCTTTTTAACAAACTTTATTTGTAAAAAAAAAATTTAGTGTTTATAATAAACATTGTCTAACAGTTTTGTATCTATCACTATTGTGCATGCATGTAACACATAAATTTTAGCCATATTAATATATCAAAATACTCAGGTATGTGTCTCCCCCCAAATAAGTGTAAATGTAAAAACGGGGCCATAAAGACTCACATTTGGAGCGTGATTTTCGGTTCGGTTTCGATTGACTTCCCGGAAATTTCTTGTCGTAACTCTTCACCAACTCTTGGAAGAAGACCCGGAACTACTCCATCCCGCTGTTTCGGCAGCAAAAAGGTGGCAGGGGCTGTTTCGGCAGCCTCTTTGCCTCCTTAATTTTCTATTTTTTGAAGTTGTTTCGCACAAGGGAGAGAGCAACAGGTAGGGGCGAAAACAGTGGGTGTTTGGAGCTTATTTTGACAGCAAAGACATGGAAAAATTAACAGCTCTGTTGCCCTCTTTTCTTGCTGGAAAAACAGGTCCACAACACCTCCAAATAGAGGTGTTCTTGGGGATCACGATGCAGAAAAGAAAGAACAGGTAGGCTAAGGTGTTTTGATGAGTTTGGGGCTGAAATATGTAAAGGAAAAGAATTATAACATAGCTGGGTATTTATGCTTCAAGATGGATTTGACTCATGGAGGAAAGTTAGAAGTTTTGTCATACATTCATCATGCATGTGTACTAGTAACTTACATGAGTGGAGAAATATGTGAGGGAGAAGAGAAGGAAGAAAGAAAACATGAGGTGAATGTGTTTGTGTGTTAAAGTCTCTCATCTACATTGTACTTCAAAGTGAAGCTTTAAAGCAACCTCCTTTAATGAGTGGTACTTGCTTCATAATGAGAATTTGAGGCATTTGTGGTTGGAAGGCTTAATTACGTGAATGGGAAGAGGTAGACTCTTAGGAGTTGACTTGGCCTTCAATGCTAGTTCTAGATATATTTAGAGTTGATTGTATGTACTAGTTCTTAAATGGGTGTAGTGTCAAAAATGGACTTTTGGGTTTTTATGGATAACTTTCGAGATATCTAACCATATACACACATACATACATCTCATACTTATTTATTTTGTTATATTTTTGTCATATAATAATCAAGTCCCCTTATTATTACATATAACATTTGTAAGGACTTAGATATTTTTATAAATATAACTCTTTCACTACATAAACATAATTGTATGTATCTTATTGGTTTTATTAGCATATAACTAGTCGTATATGAATAATAATCTATATTAAACGATTCTTATTGCTAAAATATATATATTTATATTTTTAAGAACATCGTACATTAAGTCCTCCATCAAAATTACTTACGGTCGTCATTCGACGGACATCGACCTAAGTTTTATGATTGTTACATAACAGATGGAGAATCACATGCATGTGATTAAAATATTGTGTTTATATATACTTACAGTCACTCCTGTTTTGCAGAAAACTCTGTTTAGTGAAGACTGATTATTCTTTTGAAGCTCAATATGATTTAGCAGATCTGACCATGAGTCAATAACACTAGAAAAAAGTTCCATGTTTGGAAACAAACTTTCCATCATGACTCTTTATATTTCTATTCGAGACTTTGAGATAATAACTGCATCACTGTATATATAAAAATAAAAATAATTCTTTTAAGATTACATTAAAAATAAAATTTGTTACCTTGTTTCTCCTTTAAGATTAAATAACCATTGACAAATCATAAATTCTTCTTGAGTTAATTCTGATTTGACATCAACAATGACATCAACAATTCTATTTTTGTTATAAACAAATTTTAATTTTTTTGCATATTGTTCTTGAACAAATGCAGAAGATGTTTGAATTGTATCAACTGCAGAATATGTTTCAATTGTATGAACTGCAGAAGATGTTTGAATCTCATCAACTGCAGAAGATGTTTGAATTGTATCAACTGCACAAGATTTTTGAATTGTATCAACTACAGAAGATGTTTGAAGTGTATCAACTGCAGAAGATGTTTGAAGTGTATCAACTGCAAAAGATTCTTGAATTGTATCAACTACAGAAGATGTTTGAAGTGTATCAACTGCAGAAGATGCTTGACAAACTTTTTGATTGTTGCCAATTTAGATTTCTCTCTTCTTTTATATATAAATAGTGGTTTTTGACAAATTGTATTTGTCAACTCAAAAACAATATCCTTCTTTCTTTCTTCATATATACAAACTTTTCCTTTTTCTCCTCCCTCTTTTTCACCTCCCTCTTTAAAATTACAATCTATCTTGTTCACCAAAAATTCATCAGGATCAAATTCGGCATCTATTTGCTCATGTTGACTTTGCTCTCTTCCCAATAAATGCTGAACAGTTTGTCCATCAATATGTTCAAAATTATCAATTAAATTCTCCATCGTGTCTTCCTCAAAAAAATCTTTGGGAACAAAAACAAAATCAAATAATATGTTTTTCCATTCTTTCAAATATTCATCACTTGGATATTTCAAAAGAGCCTCCTTAAGTTTCATCAACATTTTACTCTTTTTCACATTAATTGATTCAAACAAATTTCCCAAACTTGACAAGTAATCCTGCATATAAAAAATATAACACAATATATTAATATAAAAAATAACATATTAAAATAAGTTATATTTCATTCACATATGAATAATATGTGATTAAGATGTAAATTAGTTATGATTTTTACATTTAAAATATATTTCTAAATAAACATATCATTCAAATAGAAAATGTTTTCTTAACTAAATTTAATAATAATTAAACATAAATGTATAATAATAAGATCTTTACCTCAACTTTTTTATCCTTTGTATTTTGTAGTCTTTGAAGAACCTTTCCGGTTCCAAACATCCCAACTTCAATCTCACGCTTTTCTCTCTGACTCAATTTGTGAGAATTCCAGCTTTTTATTGCTGGACGTAGACGAGCAGCATATTGCCCATCAAATTCAACATGGTCAACATACAATAACTGCATACAGAAAAATTAATTTAAAATTATTTACATAGTAAATAATTTATTTAGTATTCAATAATATAATTTTAATATAAGAGTTTTCATTAAAGTTTAACAAATGCAAGTTTATCTAATATACTTTTTGGTAAACTTTTTTTTTCTGTATAGAGAGCTGTATACTTGATATATTAACATCTTGGCGTTGTTCAAAATAATTTTATAATTTACATGTGATTCATATGTTAATCACATGTGATTTGCATGTGTATCACAAAAAATTCATATGTAATTCAGTTGTAATTTACATACAAATTACATATGATTCACATGTTAATCACATGTGATTTACATGTGATGCATATGTGATTCATATGTGATTTACATTTGAATCACTGCATACTTGATAATGTGAATTACTACATAGAAAGTAAAAATTATTTAATATTTTTTACATCATATACATTGTTGATAACAAAATATTACCAGTAAGTATGTGACTGGTCCACTGAAATAACTCTTGTCTTTGGATACTGAATATGATCTCTTCTTTGTAATCAAAGATTCAATCATATAAGAACACCAATTGATCTTCGAAAAATCTGTATCACTTAATATTTTTTTCAATATCTTATCATTTATTTTCCCCATTCGTGTACCTTCAACCAGTGTGTTACAAAACAACACAATGAAATTCAATTTGAAATTGAAATCAGCTTATTTTGTTGAAATAATTGCATTCACGATATCTTTCAATCTGATGTTCTTTTTATCAGCAAATTGGTTTATCCACCTATCATAACATTGATCATCTTTAGCTCGGAATGGAACCTGGTCCACTTCTTTTTCTCCAATTGGAATTCCTAACATCTCATTTACACTTTGACTATCTACCTTAATTTCATTGTTCATAACTTTTAATATCATCTTTTGATAATCAAAGTTATGAACAACATAATAGCTAAGTCTTGAAGGTAAATCGTCAATTTCCAACTTCAATAAACTTTTAAATCCAAGTTCTTTCACACATTTCTTCTGCTCAAAAATAAGCTTCTTAATAATCTTAAACATTGAATTTGGTGATGATCTGATACGTAATGTAGAGAAATTCATTTTGTTATTATTCAAAGATATCAAAGACGAAGATACTTTCTTCACTTTCTTTAATTTCAATTGAATTTGCTCTTCTCACACTTCTGTTTTGATTCATCTAAATCAACTCTTCTTTTATCCATCTTCATTCTTGAAAAATATTTTCCTAAAAAAATAATTGAAAAGAAATTTGAAATGAGTTACTTAAGTTTTTTTCATTATATTTAATTCACATGTGAATAACATATGATTATCATGCTAATCATATCTGAATCACATATGAATAACAATGTCATTTACATCTGAATCACATGTATTTTACTCACATATGAATAACAATGTCATTTACATCTGAATCACATATTCTTTTAAATGTATTAAAGAATTTACATCTTAATCACATATTTTAATCAGATGTGAATTAGATATGAATTGAATGTGGATAATATATAAATAACTTGTGAATATATAAATTAGATACAAAAACACAAGTTAATTATATTTGATTCACATGTGAATAAAATATGATTCTCTTGCTAATCAAATCTGAATAACATATGAATAACGATGACAATTACATCTTAATCACATATGATTCTTATCTGACTTATATACTAAATAGTATGTGGATTACAAAAGAATATCAAATGAGTTACTTCTCCCGAGTTATGTTTGATTCACATTTGAATAATATGATATTAATATGAAAATCAGATTTAAACCTAGTTATGATTTAGATGTAAAATATATTTCTAAATAACATGTGATTCAAATCTAATAAATTATTTAATGACGTGAAAATCACAGGTTAACATTAACCACACGTTATTATGTATATTCATTTGCAATTATTTACCCTTACTTGTGATTATGTATATTCGTCTGTTAATAAAATATGAAACATATTATTTACATTTAAATCATGTCTTATTGAAAACCCTAAAATCAAAAACAATACGCAATACGCATTTGGGATAAAATAAACAAAACAACTTAGGGTTTAAGATTTTAATCAGCGATTCAAAAATAAACTTATTAAAATAAGAATAAAGAATTTATTACCGATTTTAACACTGTTGAAATCTGCTTTTCTTTCCCAAACGTTGACTTCGGTTTACAAGAACAATGGAAGCACACCCATTTACCGGTTTACAATAAGAATGAACATAATCCGAGAAATGAGGATCAATATGAATAAATATAAACGATGACATATAAAGAATCGAATTTAAATATAATATAAATTTTTTTAGATTTAATAAACGTCAAAATTTTTTGTCGTGACTTCTAAAGAATAAGACAAAATTATTATTTTAATATAATCGTATAATGTTTATTTTTAATTTTAAAATTTTCTATATAATAAGTTATTTTTTCAGAGTTTATTTTATTAAATTATAATAATTAAAATAATTTGTAATTTTAAATTAAAATATTCTTAATGATATTTTAGTTATAAAAATATTTATGAATATAAAAAATTTCTTTACTATATCTCTAATTAATATGTTTTTTTAAATATTATAAAACACATTTGATTTATATAGTATAAAATATACCAAATTTATAGAATTCATATAAAATTTTCTTTTAACGTATTCCATCATATGTATATAAGTACAAAATTAAATTATTATAAAATTTAATTATATTATTCCTATATTTTGGTTTCATATTAAAATTCATCCGGTAATTCAATTCCCTCAACAAACAAAACGTCGCCTAATTCAATCAAGATTAAAATCAAATTCTACTATGCTGCATAGCAAAAATCGTTGAAGAACAACTACGCGGAATAAACCTCATCTTCGACCAAAAGCTCTCCCGAAAACAATCACAGGTCCTTCTATTTTCATCAATGTTTTGAAATCCTTATTTTGTTCTTGTTATTAATGTTCATTAAATCTAAATACATTTTTTCGTTTATCTGTAACTTGTGTTGCAGTTTTCATCTACATAATCATCGACATATATACAAAAATAGAAAAATCTGGAACCCTAGAAATCAAGCAAAATGGAATTGTCAACATCTTCAGATGAAGATTTCAACGAAAAAATAGCTACTATTACAAATACAAAAGGTATTTAAATTATTATCTTTCATTAGCATCTGAATCATACATAATAAATAAATTATTGTATATGATTAACATCATAATAACTTGTGATTTAATGTGAAATAATTTACAATAAGAAGTTAGTCAGTTTTTTGTTAATTATATTTTATTCACAGCTGAATCAAATGTTATAAAGGTGTAAATCACAGATTAGCTTGTTTCGTTAATTGTATTTGATTCTAATGTGAACAATATTTTAATTGAATATGTAAATCATATGTGAATAACATTATAATAAGAATTAAAGCAGAAAATCCAATATATGTTATTAACATATGATTTGGATTTGATTGAAATCTAAATCAAATAAGGAATTATATGTTATTTAGATAAGAAGTACATATTTATGTTTAAATATAAATCAACATTTTAAACTTTTTATTATTTTATCTTATAGATAAAGCAAAAAAGAAGAAAACTATTGAAGATTCAACAAAAAAGAAAGACCAAGACAGAGTGAAAGTAATAAAAATTGGTGGAACATCTGGAGAAAGATCGAATTTACAAAAACAAAATAAACCAGAAAAATGTGGTACTTCAAAATGCAAAAAAATTGAAAAGAATAAAAAAAAAAGAAGGACAAAAAAGTAAACAAAATAAATGGAAGTTCAAAAAAAAGAAAAAAATCAGTTGAAGAAGAAAAAGAAGATGAGGATTGTTGTCATGTTATAAAGAGAAAGAAGAAGAAAATTTCATTAGATAAAAATCTTTATGCAATGAAAAATAGATGTTCAACAGAATCTTTATTTTCAGTTATTCAAGGTTTAAGCAAAGAACAACAAGATTGTGTGAAGTCTATGGGTTTTGGTAGTTTACTTAAAATGAAAATATCAGACGTACCATCAAGAATATCATTCTATATGGTAAATAACTTTGATAGAACACGAACGGTTATAAAAGTAGAGAAAGGAGAGATTATGGTAACAAGAGAATCAGTTAATGAAATGTTGGGAATTCCAATGAATGGAAAAAGAATTGAACAAATTGGTTATAGTGATCATTCAGATACATGGTATAATAATTGGGCTATACAATTTGATGATGTTTCAAATTTGAGAATGACACAGTTACGAAATTCAATTGTGTCTACATCATTAGCTGACATGAATTTCAAAATGAATTTCATAGTTCTGTTTGTGAATACTGTTTGTGAATCAAGTTCAAGTGGTGCATGCAACATTAACATATTAAAGCACATATCAAGTGGAACTGATATCAAAAGTATTGATTGGTGCTCATATGTTTTGGATTGCCTCATCAACACGAGTAATTCATTTGAACATTACAATGATAAAAAATACTTTTTCGGACCTTCTGCATACCTGGTGGTAAATTAAAATTCCATATTATACTTTAAATATAATATTTTATTATTTATTTATTAATCAATTATTGATTTTACTATTTTGTATATATGCAGTTGTTGTATCTTGATAGTATTGATTCTGATGAATTAAAGGTTGAGCGTACAAGACCATTCATTTGTTATTGGAGCTCGGAAAAGATAAAATATCGTGAAAATCTGGAAATGACTATTGGAAGATTTGGTTTTGGAGATACAAATCCTCCTTTTGTAACAGAAGATTGTAAACAATCTTTTGTTGATTTTGGAAGTGATTTTGAATATAATGAAGAATCAATTGAATGTAATCTCGAGGTAAAAATTTATTTATTTAACTTATGCTCATCTGATAAAATATTTTTGTTACTATAATATAAATTACATTTGTTGTAGGATTATGAAATTCAAATACTGAAGCTTCTAGATTGTGGAAGTTATTGCAAGAGAAAGATGATTTTATTAGTTGATAAAGCAATATCAAAGTTTCCTGGCATACAAAGTTTACAAGAATTAAAAAGTAGAGTGCAAGAATTTTTGGGACCGAGTGTTTCCACTTCGAATGTCAATAATAAGAATGAAATTTCAGAAACATATAAAATTGATGATGCTTTGTTTAAAAAAGAAGTTGTTGTCCATGTTCATTATAAAGTTGTTAAAGAAGAAACAACTCATGCTGAAAAAAAACATAATTTTGAAAAATCATTTTCAATGTTTGAAGAAGGATCTTCATCAAAAGTTGAAGAAGGAACATCAACAATAAATGATATGGAAATTAATTTTGGAGAAGGTTAGCATCAATCTGTGGTATACATATGAATAAAATAATATTCATGTTTAATTAAATGTGAATCTAATATGATAAATTAATTAAAGTGGGATTTACAAGTGAATTACATGTAAATTGCTCGTGAATCACATCAAATGCATATGTGATACAAGTTAATCACATATAAATTACTCGTATATAAATTGCATCTGATTTACATTTTAATTACATGTAATTTGTATGTAAATTACATTTTAATCACATGTAATTCATATGGGATTTTACAAGTAAAACGCATGTGATTTACATGTGAATCATATGTAATTCATATATGATTTACAAGTGAGTCAAATGTAATTTATATGTCATTTACAAGTGAATCACATGTAAATTACTAGTGAATCAGATGTCATTCGTATATAAATTGCATCTGATTTATATGTTAATCACATGTAATTCATATGTGATTTACAAGTGAATCACATGTAATTCATATGTTATTTACAAGTGAATCACATGTAATTCATATGTGAATTACATATGATTCACATGTGAAACAAATGTGATTTACATGTGAATCACATGTAATACATATGTGAATTACATATGATTTACATGTGAAACAAATGTGATTCATGTGATTAAAATATGAATTTAATGTGATGAACAATATAATTTTATATAACTAATTTTGGAATAATATGTTTTTTTTTACAGATGTATCAGATTCTCAATTTTGGGACAATGAAGAAATTCAACAAGCTCTTCAAAGAGATATTGAAATTCAAACAGAGAATTTTAAAAAAGATATGTCCAACACAAAATGTGATTATTTTGATAATGATGAAGACTTTTGGAACAATCCGAACTTTACAAAATGGTTGATTATTCAGTTGAAAAATTCAGAATTTCAGAATAGTCCTGTGTTATCTCTGATATTGAGAATACTGAAAGTTCAAAAGATAGATTCATGGAAGAGAGTTTGAGCAAAAAACATATTGTTCAACAAGAAATTAGCGGAATGCCAAGTTTTTAGCCTAGGTCTAGTCAGAAAAATTGAATGTTAAATCTGAAATAAAACAAACAATCAGTTTGAAACATCCTGTTGTTGAAAAATTGAAGATAAAAGAAATGGAGAATGACATCAACCATTGTTTAAGATCACCATACAGGTTGATAGAGGTTGAAACACATAAACGAGTAACATGTGATGAAAATATTGTGTGTGATTGGTTGTTTAGCTGCAAAGGAGAACCCATGTAAGTAAATTCTATTTAATAATTTCTATATAATTTTTAATAGTGATGTTCTTTTTATTTTTAAGAAAGAAAAATGAAATATTAACATATTCCTATATTTTGTATATATTTATTATTGTAGTGATGAAGTTATAAAAACAAAAAGAGGTGATACTACAATTAGAGTAGCAATGGAGAGCTTACTTCCATCATTCAAAAACTGCCAAGCTGTTCTTGATTGTTGGTTTGATCATCTTAATTATGATGAAAATGCTCGGCATGCTAATTCACCATCAAGAGTTTTCTGTAAAGTGGCTACTACTGTAAGTTAACAAAAAATTATGATTTAAATTTTATCATAAAATTGAATAAAATTATTTAAATATCAACATATGATTGTATAATTTGTATTTTTAATAACATGTGGATATATTAAAATAATATTTCTGAAATAAATATTATTACTGTAGTCAAATATAATTATATATAATATTAACTAATCATTTTTTCTTAGTCTTCATACTTGGAGCTTATTCATACACTGATGAAAGTAGATATGCATTATTCAAACACATATGCTTGATAGTCTTGGTGAGATGAAGAAGATAGAGATATTGAAGAAAGTTGATTATGTAAGATATTTAAAGTAACGAATTCTTAAATTTTCTTATACAAAAAAAATAAAAACCAATTTATATAATTTCAGGTTTTCTTTCCTGTTATACGAAAGGAGAATACTTTTCTAGTTGTATTCAATCTAAATTCAACTGTTTACGGGATTATTGATAATGTTTCTGGAACTATAAATGAAGTCGTTTATGATCATCTTGCAGAAAATCTTGTAAGTGCAATTTAAATAAAAGTTTTGTCATTCTAATAAATCATTTTCTCATATTATATATTTATTACTTTTTTCTTGCAGAAAAAAATGTTTACAATGTTTTTGAAGGATATTCAACATCATCTGCTACAAAATGTACTTCTGAATCTATGAAACTACATATAACTGATTGATTCCATGGAAGACAGTAAAAGAAAACTAATGATAATAAAGGAATTTTGCCAATGCGTCATATGGAAACTACAAAGGAAATTATAAATGAAGTGGAACATTGGTTGTTAGAAGAAGGTCTTAAGCAAAAGACTGTACTTAACAAATAGATATAAATATGCTGCAAAGATGCTGTTGTCTGATTTGAACATACACCGTGACAAAATTATTCATCTTGCAAAATGAATACCAAAAAATCCCGATATTGAAAGAAAAGAAGACATGAGGAATGCAGTCTCAACTCTTAATGAAAGATTGAAAAATATTTATTAATATATGTATTCAAAAAATGATTTGATACTTTCTTTCAAATATTGAAAAATGTTTGTTAGTTTTAATGTACTTTTAAATACTGATGACTGCAAATTGAATAAACTTATATCAATTCCACAAAATATAACTCATTTAAATATCCTATATAGTTTTACAATGACTGGTTTTATAATTAATATGTGATTCACATATGATTAACATATGATTTACATGCCAATCACATGCAAATTATACGAGAATTACACCTTTTTAAACAATAAATCATTTATATATACATGTGACTAAACCAAGTGTATATTAAAATGTATTTTATATATTATATATGATGGGTTTTTGAGCATTCTAACACTTCCTAAGTGTACATGCAACCCTAATAACCTTGAATCTATGTTTTCTCTATATACATGCAAATTTCTTTTTCAAGGTTATTTCCTAACTAGCATGGCATGGGGATTACATAAAACATAAAAACTAGTAGAAATACATACCTTGATGTTGCTTGGATTCCTTCAAGACTTTGTGAGCCTAGCACCCCAAATGTTGTGCCTCAAATGCTTCACACAACACCACAAGACTTGGAATAACTTGAGAGAATGTCACTTAGCCTCAAAATCGGTTATTCCCTCTCTAGTAACACTAGGTCAACTAGGTCCCCATTTTGCTAGCCATAGGGTTCCTTTTATAGTGTTGTCACAATTAGGGTTTACACATGAATCTCCTTAATTGTCATGACTCTTGATTTCCCATGACCCATGGATTTGTAACTCCCATGGACTATCCATGGAGCTCCATATGGTTACATCCAAACCCATAAACCATGGATCATTAATCCACCATAAAAGAATTGATGATTGTCATAATCAACCCTATATATTTAATTAGTCTCACTTTGATCACCAAATTAATCCTAGATTAATACTTGATCAATACTAATTAAATAATACTATTATTAATATATTAGAACTTATAATATATTAATAATCATAAGTGCCTTATTCTCTCATTTAGTCTATCCAAGTATTGCAATGCCATGCAACCCAAATGGACCATGCCGGGTCGGGTCAAGTACATACCAAATAAAGTTATGGACTTAGACACTATATCCAACAGTCTCCCACTTGGATAAGTCTAATAACTATATTTGCAAATATGACTTCAAAATCCGACTAGCAATCGTAGCTCTTTCAAAGTCTCTCGGAACTGAGATGATGATGATACGCCATTTAAGATAAGTGATCATATAATCCTCTGTTTCTCATGATATCAGCCGGACAAACACATGGAACATGGTCTTACTTATTGTCCAGCATTTGTTTCTCGATCTCTGATTTGTTTCGACATAGAACTAAATTGAACACATCAATTAGGTTCTGACCGGGCCCGGTACATAGGTCAAAACCAAATCATCGAGGGGCCCAGATATCGCTTCTATTTCTAGAAGGAACAGATAAACTTCGACTGATATGCTTGTACTAACTACTTGTTGAATTATTCACAAAGGCACGTTTTATAAATCGAGTTACCAATGCGTTTTCGTACAATCAATGAATAACCAACTCATAGTCAACAACTCATATCTCTAGGTTTGAAGATTTATATGATATTACCGTCTCACGATCACTCGAGATAAATTCCATGAGAGTGATGCAAGTGAGCGTGGGTTGGATCCAATACTCAGCCCTTATGAGTACTCATGAATGTTGTAGCAACCATTGCATTGTCCAAAGCACTTTCAGACAAATCATACAAGCCAAATTCATGACAGTCTTAAATCAATACTTACTTCCAAAGTTTGACTGACTGTGGATGGTTTGAATAATAACATAATTATTCTGGAAGTAAAAACATGCAAAATTGAAACATAGTAAACAATCAACACAAGATAGTAACACCTTACTCATAAATAAATAACAACTTTTATTTATCATCAAATGTCAATTACATTTTACAAGTTTCAGGAATCTAATTATTGAAACTAATATCATCCTTCAGCCCAATGCGCCTCGCATGCTGCAATGCTTAACCCTGCTCAGTCCCTTCGTGAGGGGATCTGCCGGGTTCTCATCTGATGATACCCTCTTAGCCACGAGGAGTCCTTCTTCTATTCGATGTCTGATGAAATGGTATTTTCTGTCAATGTGCCTAGATCTCCCGTGATCTCTCGGTTCCTTAGCCAAAGCAACCGCACTTTCGCTGTCACAGAAAATTTCCATTGGCTCCTTTATAGCTGGTACAACTCCAAGGTCTCCGATGAAGTTCTTTAGCCATATCGCCTCCTTAGCTGCTTCACTTGCTGCTATGTACTCTGATTCACAAGTAGAATCAGCTACTGTCTCCTGCTTGGAACTTTTCCAAGTAATTGCCCCTCCATTTAGGATAAAGACCCAGCCTGACTGAGAGCGGAAATTATCCCTATCAGTCTGGAAGCTAGCATCGCTATATCCTTCCACTCTCAAGTCATCACTGCCTCCGAGGGTAAGGACCCAATCCTTAGTCCTCCGCAGATACTTGAGAATGTTCTTTACCGCTGTCCAGTGTGCCTTGCCAGGGTTCCCTTGATATCTACTGACCATGCTCAAAGCAAAGGCCACATCAGGGCGAGTACAAGTCATAGCATACATGATCGAGCCCACAGCGGAAGCATATGGTATATGACTCATCTCAGCTATCTCAGCCTCTGTACTCGGACTCTGAGTCTTACTCAGCTTGGCATTACTCTGGATTGGTAATTCTCCTTTCTTGGAATCTTGCATACTGAACCTCTTCAGTACCTTATCCACATAAGTACTTTGACTAAGTCCAATTAGTCTCTTACTCCTATCTCTCAATATCCTTATCCCTAGGATATAGGCAGCTTCCCCAAGGTCCTTCATAGCGAAAACACTTCCCAAGCCAGGACTTAACCTCCTGCAAGGTTGGGACGTCGTTTCCTATGAGAAGTATGTCATCCACATACAACACCAAGAAGCTAACTATGCTCCCACTAGCCCTGACATACACACAAGACTCATCCTCACTCCTAGAAAAGCCAAACTCTTTGACTTTCTCATCAAAGCAAAGATTCCATCTGCGAGATGCTTGTTTCAATCCATAAATGGATTTATCAAGCTTACACACTCTATTAGGGTATCTTGTATCGACAAAACCCTCTGGTTGAGCCATGTAAACATCCTCAGCCAACTTTCCATTAAGGAAAGCGGTTTTGACATCCATTTGCCATATTTCATAATCATGAAATGCAGCTATGGCTAACAATACTCTAATAGACTTAATCTTAGCTACTGGTGAGAAGGTCTCATCATAGTCAACTCCCGGAGTTTGAGTAAAGCCCTTCGCAACCAGTCGCGCTTTGTAAGTATGTACCTTCCCATCCATGTCGGTCTTCTTCTTGAAGATCCATTTGCACCCAACTGTCTTACGACCTGGTACATTGTCAACCAAGTTCCAAACTTGATTGTCATACATGGACTGAATCTCGCTGTCCATAGCCTCCTTCCATTTAGCAGACTCAGGGCCTGCCATGGCTTCCCTGTAATTATTAGGTTCATCCAAATCTATTAGTGTACTATCACTAATAAATGTATCACCTTCAGTGGTGATGTGATAACCATAATAAAAATCAGGTGTGTTCCTCACCCTAGTGGAACGTCTTGGAGGTACAGACTCATCTATCGGATCAACAGGAGTTTCCTCCTCAGGTTGGTCGATAGCATTTGAGGTTCCTTCACCACTTGACTCTTGAAGCTCTTCAAGGTCAATTTGCCTCCCACTGTCCCCTTGGCTTATGAATTCTCTCTCACGAAAGACTCCTCTTCTTGCTACAAAACCACATTATCACTGGGTGTAAGAGGTAACCAAAGGATCTCTGTGGGTAGCCGATGAAAATACACCTCTCACTTCGAGGTTCAAGCTTATCATGAGTCTCACGCCTCACGAAAGCTTCACAACCCCAAATCTTGATGTGGTCCAAATTGGGAACTTTCCCAGTCCACATCTCGTGAGGTGTTTTGGCAACCTTTTTAGTAGGGACTAGATTAAGGATATGGGCGGCAGTCTCTAAGGCATACCCCCAGAAAGAGATTGGTAACGAAGCTCGACTCATCATGGAACGAACCATATCCAACAAGGTTCGATTGCGCCTCTCAGCTACACCATTCAACTGTGGTGTTCTGGGAGGTGTCAATTGTGAGACAATCCCACATTCCTTAAGATAGTCAAGGAACTCAATGCTAAGATACTCTCCTCCTCGATCGGATCGGAGCATCTTGATGTTCCTGCCCAATTGATTCTCAACTTCCTGCTTAAACTCTTTGAACTTTTCAAAGGTTTCTGACTTATGCTTGATTAAGTAATATATCCATATCTACTGTAATCATCAGTAAAAGTCACATAATAGCGATTAGCATCCCTTGTAGCAACTCTGAAGGGCCCACACACATCCGTGTGTACAAGGTCCAACAAACCTTCACCCCTATCACAAGTACCTGTGAAGGGTGACTTTGTCATTTTTCCAAGTAAACAAGACTCGCAACTATCATCTGACTTGAGGTCAAATGATTCCAAGACTCCAGCCTTTTGGAGTTGGCCTATGCGCTTCTTGTTAACATGTCCAAGACGACAATGCCACAAGGATGCTTTATCCAAGCTATCTGAAGAATCAATATACAACA